GGAAGCAAAAGGTCCATCATCTCCTTGTTACCCCTTTCATTCCGCTATAACAAAAACTTCTCGTTCTTTGCTTTTGGCATTTTGTTTCCAGCTCGTTCTTTTTGCTCCCTGTGCCGCAGTTTCTGTTTGCCTGAAAATTGGTTTAATGGCCAAGAGCTTTGGCTAGGACACATACACAGGCACATATTGAGGCAATTTCAGGAAGGCTAAGCCATTCCCCCCTTTGCCCGTCGCCAGCACGCGACATTCTATCTCTTTTCCGCTGTCAAAGAGAAAAACTGCTGCGGCTGCGGCTACAGGGTTGCTAGAAAGAAAATAAATAAATAAAATGAAACAAGCTTAACAACAACAACAAGGAAAAACTTTACACACAACTTTTGTGAAATGTTGTTGCTGAATTTTTGCGTTTTCGAGTGGCTTGCGGCCCGATGGATGTGTCAATAAAATCAATATTTGCCCCTGCCCTTGCGACTAAATGTTCAATTAGCGCATCAATCAAAGACGCTTCAACGAATCAAAGGGAATGCCGTTTGTGTATTCAAGCCAAGCCACTTGATATCGTTGGTGGTCTTATGATGATTTACTCGTAGCAGTGAATATTAACTGATGTGATTAACCCGCAAATATTTGACTAATTAGCTAATAAGTTAAGCACACAGCCACAGCAAGGCCAAAACACAGCCACACCCAGGCCAAAATCGTTGTGTGCCCAACAAATTGAGTTCAGCTAAAGAAGTAAAGAAGTAAACGTGGCCAAGAAAATTGTTCAAGTAATTGTGGTCTTGATTAAGTGGGATAGTAATTTATATGCGGGTTATATTTAAATTATATCCCAAGTATTCAGTATTCAGATAGGCAAGAATAATCTATTGTTCTTATAAAGCTTTTGTTATGGACCTCTAAAAAGTCACGGCCGCTCCCCTTCTTCTTCTGATGAAACTCCATATATGTCCTGTCCTTGGCATTACAAAGATTACATTATTTCTGATTCACACACAAACACCACATACAAATCTTGATTATCTTTGCACAAGCGAAAGCTGCTATCCGTTCCCCAAAGCAGTAACAAGTGTAATGCATTTGTGGGGCGTGCAGTCTTTGGGAGTTCCTTGTACTTAATGAAATGAGTGGACCAACCGACCGACACACCAGAGGCAGGGCCTCACATGAATCCATCGCCCGTGATGCGATTTCAGTTGCATTAACAGCAGACGACAGACCGCAGATGGAATTGAGATGTGTGCGACAACACAGAATACAGAATGCAGAGCAGCCACGACACAAAGCCAAAAGGGCAATTGCAATCATTTATGCGCACTTAAGGACATTAAGCTCAGTGCAGACGCATTAATCATACGCCACATGTGCCGCGACCCAAGCGGCAGTGTCTGCTTATCGACAGCGTGGAGGTTACTCTCTCTCTCTCTCTCTCTCTCTCTCGCAGACTCAGTCTCTCGCTAGGCTCCCTGAGTCCTGGCCATGGTAATCATTTGCCATGTTGACTGATTTGCAACAGCAACAGCTGCTGGTGCTGCTGACCATTCATTACAACAAACAGCAGAAACAGAAACGGCAGAAACAGCAACAACCAAGAAACATGGCCACAAAGTCGCTCAAAGTTATGCAATGGAATTTGCCAACTCTATGTATGCTGCCATTTCGGTATCTGTGTGTGTTGAGTGTGTGCTGGTGTGCCGATGCATCGGCGATGTATGAGTGTTAAGTGTACTGGTGTGCTGGTGTGTGTTGCTTAGTGATTTGTGTATTTGTGTGCCCGCCTGTGAGTGAAGGCAAATTTATGACTTCATTTATATGGTGAGGGCCAACCCAGGTCCCAACACGGGTCCCAACACGCGTTTATCTGCCAGTCCCCGACATTATATACCCATAAACAAGTGTCCCCTGTACAGGGTCTCCTTTCAGCATAATTCACTGTGCATTTTTTTAACACATTTTTAATTATTTAATGTATGACAGAGAAGACAGAGTTCTGGCACTGAAGGCAATTGCTTTTTTTGTAGAAATATGTGCATGATTATAAAGAAAAGAGACTGATTGATTATTATCGGAGCAAAAGCGGCTTTAAAATATTCAATTTTAATTTATTGGAAATCTCCAAAGCTTCTTTCACTTTTTACAACACCCTTTTTTTAGTGGAAGTATCCCCATAAGAGTAATTTCCTTCACAATATTGTCCTTCCCGTAATTAACAGTCGATTGGAGTGTATAATTAATTGCCAACAATAAAAGGACAGCGATAAAACATTTCGGCTTGCATAATGACGGAACAATCTTAAATGCTGGCCACACAATATAAATTCTCCTCACATGCATTTGGAATTTAATTGGGTTAAGCTCCAATCTCTTTTTGGCCACAGGGCACAAACATTTTCCACGCTCTAAAGCTGCAATACTATGGTTTAGCTGTTGATTAAATTATAATTAATAGCGAACGTTTTATTTGTGCAATTTACTGGGTTGAAAACTCCTTAGAATGAGTGTATATTTATTGAATGAGACATCAAAGTAGACAGTGGAACTTCAATTCTTGAAGTATTCTTGTACAATATTGTACAGAGCATAGTTTAAGTCTAAGTTTAAGCCAAAAGTTGTTTCTTCTAGTGAATATCACACACTGTGAATATAATAATCAATTATAATGTTCAAGTTTAATATTTAAACCAAATTCTAGAAGAATGTCTTTGTTAGTATTAGCCTTTTGATGGTAATTCAATTTCCTTTTCCATGTCTCTTAAAGTCTAATAGGATAAATCAATTTGGAAGTTTACTCTTCGAAATGCTGAAATTGACTATTAGCCCTATTAGCTGCGAAACAATCATAGAACAACAATGACAATGATGGGCAAAATAGCTTAATGAGAGACTATATTATAAACCACATGGAGGATGGGGCAAGGCTAGGATTTTATCAACGCTGTGGTTCCCTTTTTTATGTCGCACCTTTGCCTCAGATATATAATAGAGTAGTTTTGGATTTTGTTTTGGAGAACATGGACTGAACATGAACATGAACATGGAGCTGACAACGATGGTACGATTTTGGATAAATAGGCTCATACTCATCAGGATGTTCCACACGTTGTGCTTCACCTGCTGTAATGTGAAACGTTATTCTTTAGTTTTTCAGCTAGTTTATTTATTGTTTTTCATTGCAGTCACTCCTTGCCCTACACAAAATTCCGTTCGGAAAAGAAAACAGCAACAATCCCATTGGATCCCCACCCATTCACAAAGATATACTTTGGCCACTCAGTCGGCCACACTCACATCGAATAGCATCGCATCGCCAGTCGTTATTGACCCTCAAATTGCACAATTTTCGTTAACTGCCCAATTTGAATGTCACCGAAGTTCATTGAGGAGCCGTCACTGGGGACCCCATTCCCAATCCCGAGGGCTGGCGGATCCATAATGTGTCCGCTCATTCGGTCAGTGGCAACTTATAAATAAAACACAGATTTGTAGCAATTTTGCCCTAATGGCGAACCAAAAAAGAACCAAAACTTAATTTGAAATTCGGGAAACCAAAAAGAGAACCAAGAAGACAAATATTAGGAACGTCGAAGCTTTAGATACACTTAAATATTCATCGTTGTGGTGTATATGCGCATATTGCATTGTGAGAGTGCTGAGGTAAGCTCAGGAAACTCGTAGGCAGAAATGTGGTCGGACTCGAGTCGATCGAGGAACCTTTTAATTAATTCTCACTTAAATTCACTGAGTTTGAGTCTCAGATTTTTAGGGCTGCTCTTTTGTACTTCCTCTGCTTTTGTAGTGAATCGTCATACCCACATATTCAGAGGGTATGAATACAACCAAAAGCCCGCAAATATTTTTACGCTTCAGCGCATTATGTGCCTATATGAGAGTATATCTATGTACATATGTGTGAGTTTTATGCTGTGAGAGTATATGTGTGTGGGGAGGTTGTTGTGTGTGTGTTCCCGTTTGGATGAGTGTACCATTAGGCATGCATTGAAGTTCTCAGGAGACGGGCATTCGTGTGTGTGTTTGTGGTCGCGAGTGTGTGACTTCCGAGTCGCTGCTTAGTCAGAGACACAGAGGCTGACAAATGGGCGTGGCAGCGTCTAGGTCTGCGCAAAGTAAGAGAACCCGAGTTATTTATAGATTTATGCACACTCACACTCCCCAGACTCCAACACCCACTGCTCCACCCCCAACAACGCCATCATCATCATCGCAGGCCAAAGCGGGAGCCACAGCCAGAGCCTTTGGGCAAGAATAGCCTTTGGGCCAACAAATAGTTAATTCTACAGCTGTGTGGGTGTATATATTTGCCGGTATATATATACATATATGTATATGAATAACTCTCTGTAGACATGTGTGTGTGTCCACATTATTGCAGCGCGACTAAGCAAACTACTTTGCCTGTGGCTCTGGGGCTGCTTCTGACCTTATTTCCTCTCAAGCAACTCAAGGGGAATCTCTCTTATCCACGACTCATGTCAGGCTCTCGTAGCGTATCCTGGCTTGCCTTATAATTAACCCTTTTATTAACATCCTTTCCTGCTCATATGAACTGTCTGCCCGGGTGTGGTTGTGTGTGCCAGTAAACTTTCTTACACACATGTCTCAAGGAGGCATATGCTCTGGAATGTCAATCAGTGGTAGTAGTGGTGCAGTCAGTCCCTTTAGAAATATAAGTGAATTTATCAGCAGATTACCATCCAATTTACTGGCAATCCTACTTTCGATGATTCATTGGGATCTTTCCCTACTGCCTATAAAGAAATCTAACCATTTGGTGCTCAGGGTATCCTCATGCTCTATACACATTCCTAGTCAAAGTTTATCCCATTGTTTGATGCCACAGAGAAGTTACTCCTTTTGTGTGGGTCCTGGCATGGATGGCCAATTATGCGAACCATTGATTTGACGAACAATGGAACCGCCTAGAATCGATGAATAGTTGGGTCTTGCGAAATATATATTTTCGTTCCTTGCCAGTTAATTAGCAATAAAAACAGGAAAGCGGAAAATGAGATCATGTTGTAGGGCGAAAGTTTTTTGGGGCACCTTATTGCTGTCCCCTCTGGGGATCCATGCGACGCCAGTGCTTGTGGTAGCTGCAAGAGCAGCAATTGAGGTTCTTTTTCATGATCTGGTGTTTATCCCTTTTAGCTACGCAGTCACGTTGCTGCTGGACGAAGCTCTGTTTGTCCACCCAGTCGAAGAAGAAGTCGTTGGTCCGCCTCCGACGGCAAAAAAGATTGCGGAACATCTGCCGCAGATACATATAGTCGGGCATCTCGTCAAAGTGAAGGCAGCGGACGTACCGGAGGTACATCAAGAACTCGTCTGGCAGGTCTGCGCATAGGTTGTCCAGCGGCGTGGAGGCCTTTATCTCGGCAATCTGCTCAAACTTCTGTGCCCTGGAATTGGACTGAATGCCCTGCCAGGGCAGTCGACCGTGCCAAAAGTAAACGAGAATGTAGCCCAATGACTCTAGATCGTCGCGACGCCCCTGCTCGGAGAAATGTGCCCGGACGGAGGCGTAGCGCGGTGTGCCCACCAGCTCCCGATTCTGCCTGTACTCAATGTGCCTCGCTGTGCAAGGACTATAGAAATTCTTGGCCAGGCCAAAATCAATAAGGTAGACCACATTGCGCTGTGCGCCCTGACCCATCAGGAAGTTTTCTGGCTTGATGTCACGATGGACGAAGCACTTCAGGTGGACGAACTCCAGGCGGGTCAGCATCTGTTCGGCCAGCACCAGGATTGTGTGAAGGCTGAACCTGCGCATGCAAAAGTTCAGCAGATCCTCCAAAGTTGGTCCCAGCAGATCCAGCACCAGAACATTTACATCTCTCTCGATTCCGTAGTATCGTACTTGGGGGATTCCTTCACCCCCAGATAGAATTTGGTATATCTTCGCCTCACGTTCCAGCATCGGTTGCGTCGCCTTGACAAGCTCCACCTTCGCAGCCACCTCCTCGCCGTTCCCGAGGTCTCTGGCCCTGTAGAGCTCTCCAAAAGAGCCATTCCCGATACGTTCGATTAAGCGATACTTTTTGGCCACTGTGAACTCCAAAGGGTCCATTGTGTCCACTTTAGGCACCACACGTGTGCATCGATTCTGCTTTTTTTCTTTCTTTTCGAACTCTTGGATCTGCTTCTTCCAGGCCACAACTATTTTATTTGGTTTGAATTTGAATTCTTCTTGGGGTGTCTTAATTTTCGGATGGCAATTTCCGTTACAGCTTCCTTTGGTGTCCTTCCAAGACTCTACGAAGTTGGGTTCTGTGCTGAACGATAGACCCTCAGCAGTCATATATGTAGATTCACCACCCGATACTTCTCCCAGCACAGACATGGCTCTAAAGTGTGGTTTACTCGATCATTCGAGTAGAGAAATGTGTATGTAGAAAAATATATTTTAGTGGCTGTCAATGCCCCATGTGTTGTGTACTGAATGAAACAAACTGACGGAATATTAGATGTATATATCTAGGAAAATGCTAGATGCTCGGATTTTCAGCATAAATAATAGTTTCCAAAGCAATTAAGTTTGCATCAATGTTTATACAAACAAATTTAAATAAAATCCATGACATTTTCGTATGAGGGCAAACAAAAATTAAATTAACACGATAAACCCAATCGGAGAAGTACCCCCGATAAGACCACAAGCAATATACGAGTAGTTGAGCGACAAAGCGAAGATTTTTGTTGGCTCTTAAATTGTTTTGCCAACTAGTTTTGACCCCTAGTTCTCTTAATAGAGGGTATTTTTTGGCAGCTACCCAACACGCTCTGCTCCTTTTATGATACAGTTTGACCCTTAATTTCCAATTAGTGGCAGCTGAGATGGCAAATTTTTTGGAAACAAATCGAGGCAAGGTAGATGCCACGTTGGCATCACTTATGCGCCCTAGTGTGCAGGGGGTTGCTGTACTTTAGAATTGATTAATTTAGTAAATTGATTATGCATCCTGCCTGGGATCCGCATTGGCATCATTTCTGCAGCATTGGCATCATTCACCAGGTGAGGTCAGGTGAGGCTGCCACTCAATTGTCATGCTTAGACCTGCTTCTGCTCCTACTCCTTCTCTTCCTTTTCTGCTCCCCTGTCGCTGCAATATTCCATTTGCCATGTGCACGTTCAATTAAATTAATTTCAGTCTGCCATGGTGCAAGGTCCTACTATTGTTGGGGGCCAACTACTGTTTCATCTGCACTCGACATAATTTTCTCATAAATAGAGCAAGAGATATCTGCCTGCTGCTGTGCCACATTTTGTGCCCATTTCCATTACCTATGCTGCAGTTCCGCGAATGCTTTCAAGTTTATTAGATTTATGACCAAAACTTTTTATGAACATTTCGTAATTACAGGACACCATATTTTTGATGGGATTTTTCCATAAAAATTCCATAAATTGTTGCATGAATTGAACGAAAACTACAGCTTTAATGTAGTCACATTTAAGGGAAATTTGTAAAATAAACAGTTATTTTATTGGATATAAATTGACGCAAAATATTAGGTTAAATATGTTCTTGAGTAACTTCGAGAATGGTACTCCTTTTCCCTTTCCTTCTCTCCTTTAAAAACCCCCAATTAAATTCACTAAAATATTTTCCTAATTTACCATCCTTTCCTTAAATCCCAACCAATTCATTTGGCAACTATGTTGTCTCAACCCTCACCCTATCCGCCCGAAATAAACCCTAAAAGCAACCCCATCAGCCATGGTTTCTGGGGTTAGGGAAAAGCCCACAGAAAGCCCTCACAATTAATACTCATCTACATATTTTGCTGCTTATAAACTGCAATAAAATAAAATGAATGGACGCCTTGACAATTTTAATGTGGAGTTTACTTGGACGATTTGCATGGCAAATCGTGGCGTGGTGGTTGGGGGGTGTGGTATTGCGGCGGTATGGTGGCGACATGGCTGACAACCGGAAGCGGAAGTGGATCCAGCCCGTACCCTGAGCTCTTATTTATGCGTTGCGAGAGTGAGCACAAGAGAAAAGCAGCAGGAGGAGCCGAACAAAAGCCGGCTTAACATAGAATCTCTCTCTCTCTCTCTCTATCTCTCTCTATGCATGGCTTTCATTAGTGTGTGGGTGCGTGTGTCTAGTAGTTATAGCTTCGCACATATACAACACACGCATGCAATAATGCTTCGTTTATGGTTGCTTTGGCATACAGCCTGCTCCTCTCAGCAGCTGAGGGACGAACGGGTGACAGTAAAAGGCAGCATTAATTTAAAGCTTATGGCGCATTAATTTTAATTAAAATGCTGCCACAACAACTAAAAGCAATAACAGCAGCGTCATCACTATACCCTCTCCTGCTACGTCCACTGCCAGTTATTCGTACACAGCCTCTCTTCCTGCCTCTTTTTACAGCATTCTGAAACTTTTGTATGATGGAAAAGTTTGGCCAGCAGCTCTGACTGATTAGCCATGTTAAGTGGGAGACGGGAGGAAAACTGAGGCAGCCGCCTCTGCTAACTGATTTAACACATTTCACTTTCCATTTCCCATTTCCATTGGTCGCTCGTTTGTCACTCGCTCTTTATTCTTTTGTTTGATTTCTTTACTATATCGTTTTTGTTGCCACACTTTGGTGGCCTCATCAACATCTCGTTTTTCACGTGTCCCGTGTCCCTTTTATGGCAATTGAAAACTTGCTTCCTGTAAGAAGTTATCCCTACCTTGGGTTGCTCCGTTTCTTGATGCCTTGTCAAAGGTTATAACCAAATTGTCTGCACATGCTTCGCATATTTCATAGTTTCCTCGTTCTTTTGTGCTGTTGTTGGCGCCACAAAAGTTTTTGGACAGCTAAATCATTTACATACACACTTTCAGGACAATTTCCAAACCACGTCCGATGTCCCATTGTGATCGCTGAAGTGCCAGTTTTCAGTCGAAGTCCCAGTTTCCAGCATTCTACGAGTATGCCCCTGTCCCAGACCCAGCTGAAGTGTTCTGCTTACATGGCGTATGAGTGATGTGATGCCTTGAGTGTCATCTGGCTGAGGTTACAACTGTCTTGCCTTTTGTCTGGCTCACCATCCATCTCCCACTCTTAACCTCCTTTTTGTAGTCTTCTGTCCCCTTCTCTCTCTACCTCTCCGTATAACCCTTTTTTGGAGATGTTGTTTTCAATTCGCATCCCACCAAAAGTTGTTTATCTTTCTTAGAATTTCTTAGAATCTGCACATGTGTGTAGAAAAGTCATAACATATTTGATTTCTGTTTGGCTTAGGGAATTGCTTTAAGATTTTAGAAGAGTCTTGAAAATAGTAAATAGAATTTTAGGTGACAAATTATTTCGTTGATTTTCTTTCTCTATTTTTTTATTTAGTTTGAAATCACAATAAATGTACTCAAATTGTACAATCATTCGCTGCAATAAAACAATTATTGTTGTTGCCAGTTTGTAGTATTTTTCTGGACCAATTGTATGCACTTCTGCAGATACTCACTTACAAAAGTCGAGTCTGACTTAGTCATATGCAAATTTCCAGAAACTTGCTCCGAAGCCTTTTTCTGTTTGTTTTGTGGTTTCTGTTTTTGCTCTGATTTTGAAGAGATTCCGACAAAGACCGAGAAACTCACTCCGAAAAAAGCTTGACTTTTGAGTTTTTACTGTTTCCCTCGCCTTGGGATGCAAATTAGTTCAATGTGACTTGGTGCTGGCTTCCCCAAAGACTCGCATACAAAATTGTCTTAATGGAAATTATAATCATGCTGACAATGCGTCATGGCCACGCCCATTCCCCCATCCCCTGGTCTAGGCCCTCTTGTTAGGGGCTGGTTGGCCTGATTATCAGAAGCGGTGACAATTTCGCTGACATTGTTGCCAACAAATTTAGGAGGGGAAAGAAAGAAAAGCTAAAAAAAGTAAGAAAAGTCTTGCACAAAAACTCATTAAAAGTGACAGAGAAGATGAACAGGAATTGTTAAGGAATTCACGGGTACCTTGTCGTGGACCCTAAATATACATACATATATAAAGCATCAAAAATTAATGAAAAGAAGGGCAGAAAAGAAATTGAAGCCATTGACAATGGTAGAACAATGAGATGCCTAAAGTTAAAGTTTGTTTCTTAACGAATCGCATAGATGCAAGATGATGGATTAAAGAATGACATGCTCTCAACACTGTGCTAAAAATATCTGTAGGATGATTTTCTCTCCCTTTTCCCCGTTTTATGGTATACTTTGGAAATTGCTTAAATACATATTCAATTTGTTGTCGGCCCTTGGGACACGTACATACAACATCAACATAATTTCGACGCTTTTCCTCAATTTGAACACGTTCAACAACCGCATCCAAGGATCCCAGTATATTGGTATCCGCCAGGCCCCACCCTGTCGATTGTTTGCTATTTTTAAATTCTGTGGGCGTAACTAGAATTTAATTTCTCAACCGCCCTTTGGTTGGGGGTTGGGTTGTGTGGCTCTTGGGTCCTTGGCTTTCCATTGGAACACGTACGTACACTTGTTCTTTTGCATTTTGGTGGGGGCGTGGGCTCTACGTTAAGCACATCTTCAGATCCCGGCTAAGGACAACAAAAGACGCTCGGCACACAGACTTACTCCTACGCCTGCCAAAAAGTAAACGTTTAGAAAAGTGCCATCGAAGGAGAAGATTTCTTCCTTATATCTATATTAATAGAACAATGTTCAGCTTTAAATTAGTCACAAGTGTAATTGATATTTAAATATTTCAAATGAAAACAATCTCAATTGATGGAAGATTAAATACAAGTCATTGAAAGCACGATAGACTCTTTTTGAAATGATTAGACAATTATGTATAGCAGCTGCTTTTGTGGAATTAAATTCTAATTGAATTTAAATCTGTCCAATTTTGTTGCATCTAAATTTTAAGTGTATGTTTGATTACTTAGTCAATGTTGTGTGTTTGTTATCCGTTTTCTTAAGTTAAGTGTATGATACTTTGAACATTTAAGAAGAATACTTTAATAAATGTGTTTTGATCTATAATTTAATTAAATTTATTCGAATATGAAAGTTATTCCTTGCGTATTTCGTTTCTTCTGCCCCATATACTTTTTTCTAATTCGGTCCGTATTCTTACGCACGTCGCGTCTTTGGGTTGCTTTAATTTTAATGTTTCACACTGTCGTACATCTGAATATTATATTCTTGTATCCGCTGCTTTGCTCTGTCTCTGCGTCTTGTCTTTGGTTTTTGTTTCTGGCCCTTGGTGTTGACTTTCATGTCAACCGCGTCTAAACATGCCCCTAACCATTAACCAGCACCAGCAAAAGTACCCTACATCCCTACATCCTCTTCCGCTTCCTTTTGCATTGCTAAAACGTTTAAAATTTGTGTTGTATATTTTTTCTGTATGTTGTTTTTTATCTCAGCTGCTGTGAAAATCCGTTGAAATATCTACTTAGGCACAAGCATGTGGTGG